GATTGTTTATTCAGCTCAGTGATCCAGAGCCAATCTCAACTTGTGATTCTGACAGCAGTTATGGGAGACATTTAAGATTTTAATTAACTGCTTCTGCTAGTGCTATGCATATTTTCTCCTTGAAAATATTCTTAGCTTGCAATTATCTGTGGAGTGCAGGAAAATAATGTGTGCTGCTTAGGCTCAGGATTTATGTCAAACGACATTGCCATGTCAACCTATCAGGGTTCATAAAGCAAAACATAATTTCAGTGCTTGAAATAAAAATTCATTATGCAGTCTGGGGTGGCTATTAAAATGTAGCGATTAAGTAGGCCACATTTCAGAAAAGGTAAATTGAAAAAATTAATGTGTATGAATATAAGCATTTATGATCATAATGCACACCATAAATGCACAACTTATATCGTAGCAATATTCGTTGACGACATGTATTCTGCAGGCAATTATAGTAAATTGTACTATAAACTAGCACAGGCACATGTGTGTATTTCACTTTTTCAGCAAAACATATTTCCTGTCGCTCGCCAATTAATCCGAAAACCGATGCTCGCTCCGGATAATTGCGTTTGATTTTCAAAACGCTGTGTTAATAATCATTCAAACATCGGATGGCCTCGGCAGTTGATCACACCATTGCAATATACGGTCAAAGCAGTGGACACGGTGTTTGAGCCGGCCATGCAATATGTATGAGTAGTCGGGGAGCTGCTGCCTCGCGCTGGTTACGGAGGTACGGCGCGCGCGCGCGGCAAATCACAAAGGTTACTCTCGTGCGCGGCAGCAGCATCAGCAGCAGCAGCACAAATGCTTCCCCATGCAGCATCCCTCTCCCCCTATCTCGTTCTCCCCTCCTCGTTGCGGGAAGCCAGCAAGAGCCTATCGAGCTATCGCGCCGCCCTGCGCGCTAACGGGAGGCATCGTCCGACGGCGCTCGCTTGTCTCTCGTAGGGGCGCGATGCAAAACCGTTGCATATTTGGGCATGCCTCGGGAGGTCGGCGCGGGCATCCTTAGGGTGGCATTGGTAAGCCCTTGAGAGGAACGAGCCCGTGGCTGGTGAGTTGGGCCAACGATGGCTTCCTTCGGGAAGCTGACAGAGTACTTTCAGCAGAAGAGGCGAGAGTCGCTTCACTACGCCTTGGAAACAACTCCCAGCCTGTGCCACTACGAGCCAAGGTATCGGCAGAGCCTGCGCGATTGGTGCCTCGTTCCTGCTGCTACCATGGTGGCTGTCGTGTGGTCTTTGTTTTGCTTTGTGTGTTTGTTGTCTCTGCCTCATTCTCTGCGATGTCAACTTATTTATATCTACTTACTACATCTGCAGCACGCGCTATACATGACTTGCAAATGGAAAGTGTTGATTCTAGAAATATATTTAATATAATTAATTGGTGCGTATATTTATATCGCTTTGTTAATTAAGGATGCATTTTGTATGTGTTGTATGGTGTATTGCTCATAATATGAATGTAATGTTTAGGAATATATTTTTTTTATGTGTTTCAAATGGCAATGGACATGTATTCTTTCATAATCGCCTTCAATGTTTATTTATTAGCTGTAATTTGTAAACCTTGCTTTGGTGGTGCTTGCGAAATGTCCACACATTTTCTTTTTCGTGGCTAAAAAATATGTACCGGTAATTAAATACACGCTTTTCTTTTTGTCTTACATCTGATAAGAGAATAGCCATCGTATACAGCAGTGCTGCGCTGATGTTCAGGGGTAATAAATTGATGCGGAGATGATATTTTTGGTGCCAGGCGCTTTATTCCACACACACAAAAAAACATTTTAGAGGGATAAAAAAAAAGCTTGCTTTCATCCGAATGGGAGCATTGACATCATACTCCAGGTTATAAGGACATCCAGGCTCCGACATTCTCATTATCTGGTGAGACACTACTGCCGGGATTACCGGAGAGAAAACACGCTCGGCTTTATCCCTTGCCTGATGGGTTTGGGGCTTTTTGAACTGCTCCTCCGGATAAAACCGCTGCTTATGGCCACCAATGGAAAATATTGCCATGGCAAAATGCATGATGAACCCAATGCCCAAATTTGGTGCCCCAAGGTTTGGACTGCACGGTTATTTGCCGTCTTCGTGGTTTTGGATGCGGGCAAACGGGTAAACCGGGAACCCGGCTGGAAAACAAACAAAACGGTGCAATGTGCATTTCGTGTAACAACGTGTCTTATATGACACCCACGGACGTTTAAAAAGGTTGCGAGTAGTCCAAACCCAATGTTCCGTATAATTTATATCACGTAAAGTATATAAATAGAATACAAAAAAACACGATGCTGTATTGTTTTATCATACAATCGGCCCAATTGTCCGGTTTCTTTAAATTGGTTTTGGCATGTGTCTGTACACCACTCGCAGAGAGGCTTAGCTGTGGATTATCTGAACATTTCTGTTATGTAGCCTGCCAAAAGAAAATAGATAAGTATTTTTTTCATCCTCTAGTAATGTGCACTGGATTCTAGCTTGTGGCTTTACCTGCTTTGCCATAAAGCCGAATAATCTGTACACACCTGTCTCCAGCATTACTAAACTCAGGTAAACGCGATGAGATCTCTGAAGGATTTGTCAGCTGTAACTGACCGATTGTTTTGGCTTTGAGCATCGGGTTGTCTGGAGGGATTGGACCCTGGCCTCCTTGACCCTCATCATGCCATAGCTGATGGACAGAGAGTTTAAGTCTTAACATGGTGGGCGAAGCAATTGTGAGGTTAGTTGGCTTGCAAACAACCACTTAACTTAAATGTTTGCTTCTGTAGCATTGTAACAGCATAAAATGTATTTGCGAATTTTTCCGATGTCTGGTTCGTAAGATTTACACACACATACACATCTCTGTATGGTCATTGTGACCAGTTGAAATCGCTTAAAGCTGCAAAATGTGATTTTGTGTGTTTTTTCACGAATAAGGTCGTAGGAACTGCATCACATGATGGAGCAGTGGAAGTGTGGCAGCGAATTAGAGGAACATAGGCAATGAGACAAGAGCAGCGTGAATGGATTAATTGATTTATAAAGTTTGCCACCTGTCCTGATTTTCCAAAGAATTTTCTAATTTCGAGGCAGCTCTCCTGGAAAAAAAAGAACGTAGAAGTCTGCCCAGAACATTAAAAATTAAAAGCTCTAGTTTTCATCATTTAGTACTCCCCCTCTTCTTATCCTCATGAAAATTCCTGGATTTTGTACCTCATGAGGTGGCAACCCTATGACATTAGGTCACATGATATGAATGATGTAAACGGCAAATTTAAATTAACTGGTAGCATTCAGTAGTGAATTTGATGCCAGGTATATTTTAAACTCCTTTGGGTTATAATCTCATGAACTAACACACTGTCAATTAAGGCAAAGAAAAGCCACCTCGGCTATCTTTGGCCTAGTTAGGCTCAAGAACCCCTCATATGAGGTTAGATTTAGTGAGTGAATGAGTGGATGAGGGATCAGATGGGATGGAGGGAGCTTGACCATAGACCTGCCCTTAGGCAAAGAACGAGAAAGATATTGATGTCTTTAGAATCGTGTCGCGTCTCTGCCCACACACACACATGCATTCTCTTTCTCTCTGTATATTTATAAAGCAGTCTGTTTTCAGGCATAAAAACATATAATGTGTTTGTTGTATTTGATGTCATTTTATGTTTGGTCCAAGGTGTTGATGTGGTTTTAGACCACACGTGATAAAGATGCCACTGGAATCAATGTTGTAAAGAATATAGTGTCCATATCGTCTTTTGAGTGAGCAGTGGTGCGGGATGTAATCATTTTCTCAAGAAGTTTGGCAGGCTGACATATACTAGACAGTATTTTTTCTCTCATATCCAACATATATGTAAGATTGTTTTCACTTTCAAAATATCACTTTCATTGCATGCTATTGCACAATTGTGGGGCAATACACCATCGCAGCTCACCGTACCACGAACCAATAGACGTGGGTTTCATTCCTGACCCACAGCTAACGTCAGTGGCAAGTGATATCCGAGCTGGTCCGAGATCTTCGCCACCCGGCGTCGCCCAGACTTGTGAAATATGTTCCCACACCGCTGCGCTGTGGTCCTCATTCAACAGTGGATATTACAAATAATTGTTAATCTTCAAATTTCGTTTAATCTCGAGAATGCAGGATGTTTGATGACAAGCTTTCATTTAGACTATACTTACGTAGATAATGCACCTAATATTATATGTATACATACTATTCTTAGTATTTGAGTAAATTCCATGCAATTTTGCTTAATTTTAATAAAACACCCGGAATTATGAATTAGCTATTATTTTTTTATGGGATTCCTTATAGTGTGCTATTTAAGAATTGGCGGATGATGATAAATTTGAAATACAATCACACCCGTTGATATTGCGCCGGAAGGACTTTACAAAACTGGTAATGTGTTCACGATTGGCAGCTACCAGCTCACAATTGTTACAGATGCTGAAAATGTTTCAATTAAAAACTCTATAATTGACCCATGTGTGAACTCATTGCTTTACATGGAGTAAAGTACAAGGAGGCAGAATTCACAATTTAAACATATAAAAAAAACAATAAAATATATGGGGAAAAAAACAAAGCGACCTTGCCGAAATGGCAATAGGGAGCTCTCGAGCACTGTGGAGGGTGTTTGGCCTACTCTTCCACGTCGACCAGACGTCTGGGAAGATGTGAGAGTACCCACACTTTACCCCATCACACACGACCTGCCGATGTAACCTACCTGGGGTGCCAACCATTGATATTGATGGAGTGGATATAGGTTGGGGTGGATATCGGTTGGGGGGATTTGAGAGAATCTTCCCTCTTTTTTCGACTGTCGCGTCAGTAAATCGAATCAAAGCAGCGACCTCTTGAAACCGGCAAGTCCGGTGTGCTAACAACATCACAGCACGGGCAGCATTCACGAGATGGTTACGTGCGAAGGTGAATGCTCTCAACTGGAGCCGCTCGCTTCTGGTTTCCCCCTCGTTGTCCTGCAGGGGCTGTGAGCGTTGGGTCGCTCGGCCATCCCTCACCAAATCCCGCACGCTTCCCAGCATCCCCCAGTCGCCGCCCAGCCCGCGTGCGTCGCGGGTCTCCGGGTGCAATGGCACGGCGGAGAAACGGCGGCGCAGGCTGCCATCTACGCCGGCCAGCGCTCGCCTCTGTCCGACGACCCCTCCAGGTGAGAGCCCCCCCCCTCCCTCTCTCTCTCTCCTACGGGAGCTCTCAACATGCCCTCTTCCTCCAGATGCCATATCCCTCCCCACGGTAACCTCTTTGCGCCACCTCTTGCTGTGAGATCACAGAGGCACTCGGCTGCAGGGGGCCCGGGTCTTGGGTCAGCCGCGAGCCGTGAGCCGCTGCTGGCGCCAGGCCCAAGCAAATTGAGGGCAGGTTGAGGACCCCAAGAGACTCAAGGGGCCTCCGGATTTATGAAAGAAACTGCCGCGTCGTATTTACAAAAAAATGATATACCACCACTACATTATTTCATCGCAATTAGTCAGCTGCCTGAATTATTTAACACGTGCAGTGATTCAATTATGTCATGCAGCTTGTCGGGCACGTAATGTTTGCGGTAGTCACTTGAGGATATCCAAATATAATTTCTGCTTAGGATCCCCTGGAGATGTAGCGGCACCACTGTTTTGAGCCGCGGTGTGGACACAGCAGGGAGGATCGTGAGGCAATCAAGGCCAAGCCAGACACCAATCATTCTCGGGAGTTCATGTTCCTTTGGATCGCGGTGACGAAGTGTAGGAGCCTGTCACAGAATGTGAAACGTCGGTCTGAAACGTGTAATCTTCACACAGGTCATTGCAAAGGCAACATATGTACGTTTGTGTGTGTATATATATATATACATTGTCCACATATCAGCTATTCATGATTCAGCATTTAATGAAAGTCAATGCAAGGGTGTGAAGTCTGCACGACACTGAAAGTGCCATGTATTTTTTGTTGTTGACCAACCTTAGAAAAACATACGCACTTGATTAAGTATGAACATGTCATAGACTAATCTACGCCATGCCCTCCTGATGACGTCTCCATAAAGGCAAACTATTTTTAAGGTGCAAAGCGCCCTAAAAAAATGGTTTTCTGTTCTCAACGAAGCCACTTCAAGCCGTAGATCATGAAAGATTGTCCCCGTGTTCATAGACATTGTGCCCCTGACGTGTGGAATTGTACGAATTGTTCCCGCAGTTAAACCCAAGAGTCCCTTGAGAATGCCACGTCTACATTCGTGAAGGCGTTGTTGCTGCGCATTTACAAGCCCCGCCAGTGAAAAATAGATAAGCAGGATTGGAGTTTCTAAAATGCATGAATGGATTGAGATATTGGAATGACAAAGGAAAGAATGGGTGGACAGGGAGAAAAAAACGATTGAATAGTAAAGAAAATGCCAATATATAAGATGTATCTTTGAGTTACATAGGAATTGGTAGAGATGGGGTATCTGATTAGTTAATAAGTCTATTGCTCTACCGATGATCACTTTTTTCATTCAGCAAATAAATGGGTGGGGAGGAAAAGAAATGATTACGCCTGTTCTCACGTGTGCCACTGAATGGGAGTTGATGGGCAAGGATCGATATCATCATCATCATCAGCTGGGGCATGGCTTGTAGGGGAGTCAGGAGGGTGTCGGATCAGCTGCCATCCAAAAAGGCGGCCTGAGTAATCAATCAATAAAAAAGTGACATATTTAGTGGTTAGTGGTGCACAAGCAACAAATAACTCAAGATATTTGTGAATGACACGTCACAGCACATAGATGTAGTACAAAAAAGGTATCACACATCGTAGGTTTTCGTGACCAATATCCATAATAGAGGTTTTGGGGTTAGATAGCATCATTAATACATTAACCCCCCCCACTCTCCCGCTCTGGTCTATGCTCCTGATTGGTTCACAAGTGATGACATCACATTTATTACCGTCTACTTAAGAACAAAACAGGAGTAGGGTTTCTCCACAACTCTGGCTGTCGCCTGATGATGCTAGTTGTAATTCCTAGCGAATTATCACAGTACTCGAATTGTAATTGTTGTGGGTTTACTTTCCAGCACACCGGTGTGCTGAACTAGTTACGAATTGGCACGTTCTGTTTACGTGACAAACCTTACTAAATTGGTTGTGGATCAATTTAATTAATTTACTAACTGTCGCAGCTCTACTTATCAGTGATTACCTCTGATATGTGGATGGATGATGCATGTATGTGCCCAATGCCACTTGTGGGATCAATGATCTCGCCGAGTGAAGCCATCACACTGGGGCATTGTGTTGATGAAGGGATAGTGCAAATTCCCTGGCGGTCAGAATGAATGAGGGTGTGCTTGTAAATAATATTCCCGCGTCTTCACAGAAAATAATGGGGAGGAATGTCTTATCCTTTTCTGGAATTAAAGAGTACCGCTCTTTCAAGACTTTTAAATAAATAAACTTTCCAAGCACAAGTAACATGCCAACTCGAGATCTCAAAAGCATTTTCAAAGTAAAATATTGATAATAATAATAACTGAAACCTTTTTACAAGGATTAATGTCTGCATTTGCCATAAACAGGGGGAAACCCCTATTATTATATTTTGGTGCTGGCAAAGGAGGTCTAATGATGTAGATTCTTACCCCGAGCCCTCATTACTTTGATAGTGCATTGTCTTTGAGCTGTACACCTTTTGGCGTCATCTGGTCGAGCACCAATTGAGACGAGGCTCAAAAGAAAGATGTCTCTGGTGTGGACCAATCAGTTTCAAGGACAATGCATATATTATCAGTGTGTTTTTTGTTTGCATTTTGACTGTAAGTATTGTGGTTAATGCAGACATGAATCCTTGTAAAAAGGTTTCAGTTTTGTTGCCAGAAAAAAGGGGGAAAACCCTATTATTATATTTTGGTACTGGCAAAGGAGGTCTAATGATAAAATATTGATAATGGTTTTAAATGTGTGATTGTGTTGAGTGCATTAGGCCTATGTAAATTATTGTTCTACACATTGCTTTCATTATCATCCTTACTCATGTAATGCGAGCATAAACGGGGTTCGCTGCTGGGCTCTGGCCCAATCATACGGCCCGGGGTATTGGGGGGCGGAGCCCAGTATGGGGGCATATGGGAGGGCCCGCCGTTCACCTCGGGTCCAATCGGAAGCGAGGTGAATGGGGGTGGAGCCAGCAGGGCGCTATGGGAAGGCCGGATCTGACGGTCCGGAAGGAGAGGTGACAGGATCACGTGGTAAAGGGGATATAGATGGGAGCCCGGAAGGGCTCCGGGTCAGTTGTTGGAGTGAAGAAGCTGAACCACGTTGGGTGGCCCGAGGGGATCCGTGTCATCAGCCACGTGGCTGGAGGAGCTTCGGCACACCGTCGGCCAGCGGTGTGCCGAGTGGGGGAGCGGAAGGACTGCCGAGGAAGCGCGTGCGGGGCGCGCGTGAGGAGACGCTGGTCCGCTGTCAGGACCAGCGGGGTGCGAGCAAGAAGCTAAATAAAAGAGCAACGGAGACCAGCAGTGTGTGACGAAGTCTTTTATTACACTCAGATAACAACTTAAATTATATTTGATTTTTGGGAACGTTTACATATACAATTGTATTGTCTGAATTATGTATATCGAAAGAGTACTAATATATGAAATGCTCATTGTAACATTCATTGTTTGTGAGCTTTATCTAATGCTCATTTTTAAACAAGTGATGTTGACAACCTTTGGATATTTGATATTTTATGAAGACGAAGACTCAAAAAAGCCCAATTTGAATGATTGCAGGGGCATTGATGGCAACGCACAAAAGGGTGCATGTACCTCTAGTACATAATCATTGAAGGACATAAAAGAGTGAGTGAGAGCAGCATGGAGTGCGATTGGAACAGTTTAATTAATGACGAAAAGCAAAATAGTAAAGAGCTTGCAAAAAAAAGGTTTAATCAGTGTACGTGAAAACGAAAAATTAAACAAAATCCAAAAAGTGTGCGAAAAATCGTGGACAGGTGCATGCTGGGAATCACACTGAGCAACAGTAAGAGGAACACGTGGATTGGAGAACAAACAAATTGTACGGCACCATATATAAGTGGGCTTGGCTAGGACACGTTGACGCTCAATGGGACATGCTGAGAGAATAGCGGTAGAAAGAGAGAACGCACGTGGGAGTATGGCCGCTGTGGAGAAGTGATGAGATTAAGTTAAAGTGAGATTAATTCATTAAAGAAAATGTGAATATATGGTTCAGGATGAACTGTTCATGAGCAAGCTGGCATAAGGCATAGCAAGACGATGAGGGGTGATGCCAATATGAAGAGGCCTTCATCCAGCAATTGCTAGAACATGGCTGCTGATGATATAAATAGTATGCATACATAATAAAACTATGGGAGTGGTGTTTTGGAACCTGGAAACCTCAGTTGTATTTCTCGACCACAGCTTACAGCACTTGCGAGTAACATTTGTAATAATCCTCATCCTCTGACCCCCACCAACCAGCACTCGTCAGAATGGTGAAGTGCTAACTCCATAGCTGGATGAACACACTCCGTTTATAATTTGTGTACAAAAACAATCTTCTCTGAATACTCGCAGAGAATAGTCGCAAGTGATCGAGCACAATCTGGAATAACAATTTACAAAATGCAATAAAATAGAAATAAACTATGTCCACAATGTAACAATACTTTGGGTGCGGCTTAAAAAACGCAAACACAAAATGCACTTTGAATAGTTTTTACCAGAGATGGGACAAAGTCATTGTTATGCAAGTCCAAGTCGAGTCTGAAGTCATCAAATTCATGACTCGAGTCTGACTCGAGTCCAAGTCACATGACTCGAGTCCACACCTCTGGTTTTTACTCACACATTGTTTTGTCTGTATCGTAAGTTCACTTGAGTTTCATGGTTATAAACGTTTTTTCGGAGTGTATCAAATGTTGAAAGGCATAACGCAAAATGCCTTTTCATTTTTTTGAAGAAAGGGCTAAGGAAGGATTAACCTGCTTGATTTTATTTGATGAGAACTCTAAACACAGATCCCCTTGGCATAACAATGGTGTCTGAAACTGAGCAGCTCTTTCTGATGAAAAGTGTTTTGATGTTTAAGTACCAAAATCCTGAGCCATTCCACACATTCCAGCAGGTATTTTAGCTGAAACTATATCTGCATCACGAAGCAAAGGAGCTCAATTTA